CCCGTCCTTTGGGCTTAATTGAAGTCCGATTTCGTGTAATTTCGTGAACTTTGTGTATTTGATGTGTGTATGTGACGAAAAGGTCGTGACGATATTTTCCTAAGGCTTGAAGTCCTATCAGGAACTTTTCCCTTGAGTCTTCGCAAAATAACCCATAACCACTCGTCTATAAGACGATGGTCTTATGCTAAAGATGCTAGACATCAAAGAAAAATAGGAATTAGTTAAAATTTTCTAAAAGGGTGAGTCTCAATTCTAGTTTTCTAAGACGGTCAATAAGAACTCCTAGAACTAGGAATAAGAACTCCTAGAACTAGATCCTAGGCTCTAAGGAGGAGAAGACAAGACCTCACAAAAATGAGGTCAACAGACTTAGCAAAATAATGCAAAAATGAACACATCTAGAGAACGCTAGACATCTGTTAATACAGGTCATCAACTGAGGAGCAATATAGTTGATAACTACTCCAAAGCAGTAGGTTGAGCCTTTGCTACGAATGGTCATCATCACCAGAATAGATGCAGAATAAATTGGCAGCGGTCCAAACCAGAATAAAATCTCCAATAAAACATCTGGAGGCAGACGAAATACTCACCTTCCACAGCAACAACAACAACAACAACAACAACAAACCTTTATCCCACTAAGTGGGGTCGGCTACAGGAATCCTTTTTTCTCCATTGTGTCCTATTGAGTGTCATCATTTTTTATACAATATGCCCAAGTTTTTTTAGGTCTACCTCTGCCTTTCATAACATCAGTCAAATCTAAAGCATCTACTCTCCTAATTGGACTATCAGATGGTCAATATTTAATGTGATTAAACATTTGAGACGACTCTCTCTACTCTTGTCCGCCATTGGAGCTACTCCAACCCTATCACGGATATATTCATTTTGCATTTTGTCTTTAAGTGCCAAGCCACTCATCCACCTGAGCATTCTCATCTCAGCAACACTCAACTTTGTTGTATGCTTCTCTTTAAAAGACCAACATTCTGCACAATAGAACATTGTAGTTCTCACCACCATCTTATAAAATTTTCTTTTCAATCTAAACATTATTTTTCTATCACACAATAGGCCAGATGCATCCCTCCACTTCAATCAACCAACTTGAATTCTACTAATAACATCGTCATCTACATCACCATCACTTGAACAATAGACCCCATATATCTAAAATGTTCACACCTTTTAGTGTTGATCACTCATAATAACAACTCTACCATTAGAGCTACTACTACTAATAAAATTACATCCCATGCATTCAATTTAGATCTACTCAAACGAAGGCCATTAGAATCCAATATAAACCTTCATAATTCAAGTTTTTCTTGAACTCTTTCTCTAGTCTTATCCATAATAAGGATATCATCAGCGAAAAGAATACACCAAGATACATCCTCCTCTAAATGTCCAGTAAGAGCATCCATAACTAAAGCAAAAAAATATGAGCTTAAATTTGATCCCTGATGTAATCCATTTGAAATAGGAAAATAATTGGTCAATCCTCCTTCTGTTCGAGCATAAGTAACAACTATAGTATATATATATATATATTTAATGACTTGAATATAAGTCATATCAACCCATTTCTTCTCTAGAATTCTCCAAAGTACTCCTCTTAGAACCTTAATGTAAGTTTTTCTGAATCAATAAAAATCATAGATAGATCATCATTATTCTCTTTGTACTTCTCCATCAAACCTTTCAATAAATGTAAAGCTTTCATAGTAAACATGTCTGGCATAAATCCAAACAGATTATGAGAAATCTTTGTATCACATTGATGTGTCTGAAATCATGCTTGATTTCCTTTGTCTTTTACATTTATTTTTAGATGAAACTGCACTTTAAAGAAGGGTTTTCTTGTGTTTTTTTGCAAGTATAACAGGTAGGATACATGGAGCGAAACGGAGCAAAAAATGAGCAAAAAAGAGGTGAATGGAGCATATTGGAACCAGCAAGCCTGGCGCCTAGCGCCAACTTATTGGTGCCTAGGTGCCAGAACCAGCGCAACAAGCCCACAAGCCGACGCTTAGGCGCCAACTTCCGGGTGCCAAGGCGCGGCAGTTTTTCTGCAATTGCTTCACCACGATTTGGGGAGTTTTGTGGTGGTTTTAAGCAGTTCAAAAGGAGATTTTTAGAGGGGACGAAGCATTCTGAAGGAGAAGAGAAGTGAAGAGAATCCAAGGAGTCCTAGGAAGATCTAAGGTTTGTAAATTTCCACTTTTCTTGAGAGATTGGTGGGGAGTAGAGAGAAATCTATAAGGGAAGCAATGTAGCATTGCAAGGAGACTTGGATTCATTATTGGAGGAACTTTTCAACTATTTTCAGAGGAGAAAAGTTAAGTATAGTGTTCATATTTGTCTTGGAATTATTGTAAACACATATTTTAGTATATTTGTTTTGTTAACTGATGATGATTTCCATTATAATCTTCATGTTTTGTGAGTAGTTGCTGATGAAGTGTGATTTGGTCGAGCCAGAGGAGCATACCATAGCCTTTTATCTGGGGGTCTGACGTTATGCAGTTGCAGCATTGTTGGTCACTGGGAGATGTCGAGACTTTAGAACTGAAGGTGGAGAAACAATAGAAACAAAGCAAACAATCACCATCAGTCAGACATCCACCCACAATTGGAGACACCAACAGGAGCACACTTCAGGGAGTTAAGAAAACTGGTGTGAATAAGGACAGAGCCACCTCGAGTGAGAAGCACGAAAAGAGTAGCATGCCAACTACAATTCCCACCTGAAAATGCTTTAGATGTCATAGATTTGGGCACATCGCTTTAAGTTGCCCGACAAACCAAATCGTTTCTTTTACGAAGTAAGGCGTCGTAAAATAGGTTAGTGATTACGAGACAATCGAGGAACAATGTGAGGTATATCATCTTCCACTAAATGAAGGAAAGACGCTCATGGTTCGAAGGGTCCTACAGACCAAGGATATGAGATATTCATAGTGGGTTCATCACAATATATTCAACACATGTTGCATCGTGACCGCAAGGTATATGGAGTCTCATCATCGAGGGAAGAAGCAGTAAGAATGTGGCTTCTACACAGCTGGTGGAGAAGTTGGGCCTCATTATTCGGAAGCACTCCCAACAATATTCTCTAACGTGGCTAAAAAAGGAAAAACAGAGTCAGCATTGATCGGAGGTGCTTAGTAGAGTTTTTGATTGGGAACCAGTTACAAGATCAGGCGTGGTGTGACGTAAAACTCATGGATGTTTGCCACTTGTTGTTATGGAGACTGGACCGTAGATAGGGGTGTAAACGAACCGAACACGAACGAACAAAGCTTGTGTTCGTGTTCAGTTCGTTTAAAATTTAATTTGTTTAAAATAAGCTCGTGTTCGTTTCTTAACGAACGAGCCGAACACGAACCGAACACGAGCTGTTCGCGAAAGACGAGCCAATTTGACATCTCTAATATTAATATATAAAAATAATATTATATATTAATTATATAACTTATATTATATAAATATACAATATCTATATTAGTATATTACTACTATAGTATATTAATATATTATTATTATTATTTTATTATATATTATAATTTATAAAATTTAATGTTTTAAAATATCAAACAATAATGATTCGAACACGAACGAACGCATCACTGTTCGTGTTTGGTTCGTTTAACTAACCGAACGAAAAAAATTTGTTCGTGTTTGTCTCGTTTACTTATCAAACGAATCGAACACGAACTCGTTGACGAACCGAACACGAACTGTTCGCGAACAACGAGCTTTTTTGACAGCCCTAACCGTAGAAATCAGCATGACAGATTCAGAAACACCTACGCCTTCACTAAAGATGGGAAGCTCGTCGTCCTTCTCCCTTCAACAGAGCTTGAGATCACAAGTCTCTTGCCAGCAGAGCAACATCAGTGTGATCATTTTTTATGATGACAGAGGATTATAGGATTGAGACACCAGCTCCAGACACGAGACAGTGTCACGACAGATAGCATTTCAGGATATCACAGTCGATATCTCACCACCATGGCCACCACCGTGCGGGAAGGTTTAGGCCACCCTCTCTTCAAATCATGTTGAGTCGACCGTGCATTACTTTGGGAGTATTCAACAACATAGGCGAGACACGAAGACTCGGTTCAGTTGAATAGTGGACCCCAGGAGAGTAGATCGATATGGATGTATGCTCGTAAATGAAGAAAAATCCTCAGGCATTTTAGGAGACAGTACAGCCGACACTGAGATCCAAACGCTGATAGAATTGCACATAAAGAATAAGAAGCTTCGACGAATGAAGTCGAAGCTCTCCCAACCCTCGTGGGGCTTATCCTGGGGCTGAACCAGTTCAACAAAAGGTTTCAAAGTGAGTTAGTCATTGTCTTAGGGGCTAGGGTTGCCGCCAAAGTGAGGGGTTCTCCCTTGGTTACATATTACTATTTATATAAGCTCTCTTTTTTAAGTTTAGTTTTTACTGTTTGTTATCCTCTTCTCGCTCTCATCTTCCCTAATTTTCTCCTGCCAAGTCTGTCGCACTCCCATCCCCAGCCGGCTCCCAGATCTGTCCCAAACCCTCTCAACTAACCAACCAGCAAGCCTACTATCTCCTTTTTGGTCTACTGTCATCCAATCGCTGCCCCCTCTCCATTTTGTTTCTACTGTATCCCACTGCCTTACAGCCCAACAACCACCCACTATCCTCCCATCCACCACCAGCCCTCCATATTGCAGTCTCTACCCAGCACTCACCCACTCCTTCCACAAGCTTCATTTAATCCGTCCGCTCAACCCCTCCCAATAGCCACTAGGTTGTTGTCTGTCTTCTTACCCCCTTCCATACCCTTTGTTTCCCGCAACAACAACATTACCTCACCGATCTACACCTTAGAGTGGTTTTGTGTCCTTGTTTTCTTGTTTTTCAAGTGTCATATTTGTAATTCTTTTAATTTCAACAATAAAGTTTTATTCCATTGTGGGTTTTGAGTTAACTCCGATATCACTTAGATAAAGAGATCGCGATCATTTTAGGCAAACATTTCTTAGCTACTGAAGGGGCAAACATTGATGTGAAAAGAAAGAAATTAAAATTAATAAAAGTACCCAATACTTCAAATAACAAAAACAATTTGGAGCGTTATGAAGAAAGTAGCACTTACCCGGCTCTAATTCCTTGGATTCAAAAACCTCCATTTTTAACTAGAGAATGAAATTCTAAGCTGAAATTGTCAGAGACTATGAAGAGCTTGTTAGGAAGAGAGGATAACGCTTTGTTGAATCACTAATGAAATTCTCAAAAATCATGTCTCTTAGCAAGGCATGAAATTCCAAGCTATCAACAAAGAATGCCATTTTAAGCACATAAATGCTAGAACGCGCACCAAAGTGGAATACCATCAAATTCTTATACATGAGAAGAGGTAGCTTAATGTAACATGTGCAGAAGTTGTTCAAAAAAAATTATGAATAATAAGTTTGATCAAATAGACAACACTCAAAATAAATGAATGAAAAATGAAAATTCATAAAGCCGACCCCAAATAATTCTAATAACTATAACAATTAGGAGCGCTACGAAGAAAGTAGCATTTACCTAGTTCTAATCCCTCAAATCCAAAAACCTTCATTTTCAACTACAGATTGACAATATAAGCTTAACTTGTCAGAGACTATGAAGAACTTGTTAGGAAGAGGAGATATTGCTTTGTTGAATCACTGATGAATTCTCAAAAATCATGTCTCTTAGCATGGCATGGCATTCCAAGCTATTAACAAAGAATTGGCATATTAGGCACGCAAAAGCTAGAAAGTGTGCCAAAGTGAGGTAGCCTAATGTAACATGCATAGAAGTTGTTTAGAAAAATTTATGAAAAATAAGTTTAAGTAAATAGACAACACTCAATCTGAATGAATGAAAGATGAAAATTCATAAAGCCAGCCCCAAATAATGATGATGATGATAAGCACAAGAATGGTATTACAAGCCGTTGACAATGAATTGGCCATATCTAAGCAAGGGAGCCCATGTGCTTAACTATGAACTATACCCCAAACCAACGAAACCTTTAAATATTTGCACCATCATGACACAATAATAATAATAACCACAAATACACACAAGGAAAAGTTAGTGTTTAAGCTAAGATATTCAATTCTTTAGAGGAGGTAAAACATCTCTTATCTGTGAAACTTCAAGGAAAGTTTGAAAGAATCAGGCCTGAAATGCTCTAGAAGAAGTTGAATCCATATTTTGGCTTTTTGGCTTTTTGGGGTAATGAATTAATATCAAGATGTATGACTGCCCATAACCTAACTTGTACCCAAATAAAATATCTCAAGTCTTTGGCATATAATGTAAAATTTGTTTGAGAAACTTGTTTAAATCCATTGCTAATCAAGAATTTTTCCAATTTCCCATTCAAAAATATTATTGGATTAAGCCTATGTAGCATATCATACAAGATGAGTGCTGAAGCACTTAGAATCCTGCATCCGGCAGAAGATTCCGGTAAACTTAAGATGTAGCCAACTTTCTGAATGACTTAGTACAAACAATAGGGCATATCTAGTCAATGAAACTCGCACCAATGCGGGGTGTCAGGACTTGATGCATGCACCCTTACCCAAACCCTGCCATAGCATAACACACACAACATCACAGCATTAACTATAGCGCAAAAGGACAATTATCTTTCGACTTACTTGCAACTAAAGATTCCACATTCGAAATTTTTGACACTCAACAGGAATTCCGAATTCGTTTAATTTGAATGTGTTAAACAAGACAATAACTATCAATGGTGCAACAATTCAATTCCTCTAGAAATAGTTATCCAACTCTCAATTGCTTCTGCCGCAAGCGAAATTAAAGAGCTGTACACAACATTTTGTAATTTCTCGGATAATTCAACTCACCGGAGAAGTTATAGAAGAGAGGGTCTATCGGAGCAAGGCCGGAAAAGGAGCGTAGGGGCTTCCGAGTGTTAAGACAGTGCCCGAGGCTCCCGGAAGCAGGATACCGCGAAGGGGAGGAGAAGCGGCAGGAATGGATGCGAGCGGAGGAGACAGACGGGAGGGCAGTGCGGAGCGAGGACATGCTCCATGGAAAAAGAGTCGCCGCCTGCGAATTGAAGGCGAGTGCCATTTTCGGATAGAGCCAGAAAGGGTTGTGTTTCCGTTGCTCGCAGCTCCACTCCTCTGGCTTCTGCTGCTTTCCCGATCCAATTAGAGCGAGCAAGTTGCACATTTGCTATAAACACCTACACCAAATTTCTCTTCCAAAAAAAAAAAAAATAGGTGAAAAACTTCGGTATACGCAGCGCTACGTACATAATGAGATTATATTCGCATTATATCGGCATTATATTCGTGTTATATCCCCTATAACCTGCATGTAACCTACAGATATGTGAAAACAGAAGCACGGAACTTATTTGTAAGTTCAGGTAGGTTACAAGTATGTTATATGTAGGTTACATCGAGGTTACAAGCGATATAATACGAATATAATATAGATATAACGTGAATATAACATCTATTATGTACGCAGCGCTGCGTACGTAAGACGTACGCAAATTTTTCTCAAAAGATAGAGAGGCCTTTGGGGCCGCTTCTCGGCGCACGTTTGAAAGTGAATCGGGTTTTTAATAGTTTGAATGTAAGGTTTGTGTTCAGGCTATTAGCATTCCATTGCACGATGGTTTTTTATTAAAAATGGGAACGCAAGCGTCCATTTGGGGTAGCTTCACCTTATAAATCTATTGTGAATAATTTGATTAACTGTTTGTTTTCTATAATTTGAAAACAACTATGCAGCAGCTATTTCTGGACAAATGATCATTCCGCCCATGTGTAGTAATGTTGTTTGTAATAAAATTATCATAGACATATATTCAATACTTCATAAGTAAAAATCCAATTAGAACAGTACAAACAATAAGATATACACATCGCTTAACAGTGAGTATCAAGATTGCCAAAAAAAATATTAAAATTAAATTTAATAATGTGATAATATTGTTTTTTAGTCAAAACACACACTGGACAGCAACAACCTAGCTACATATTCCTTTTTAGTCAACACATACACTGGACAGCAGCAACCCAGCTACATATTCACCACACAACCCACAGTCACCACACCATCCCAACCCATAACCACCAAAGCCCACAACCCACAGCTGAAATTATAAGAAATATGCACTGAATTCACACAGCCACCAGAGGCACAAAAACCACCCCAATGCCACACCCACTAGTACCCCAACAGTAGCCAAAATCCCAAACAACAACCATCACCACACCCATAGTACCCACAACCACATCCAACACCTCAAACATAGCTAACACTTCCTTACAACAACCACCACCACAACCAAATAATCACATCCAACGTCCCAAACAACAGCAACCACCAAAATCATAGAACCCACAACCACATCACAACACATCCAGCATCCCAACCACAGCCAACATTCCAAATAAAAGCCACCATCACACCAGCACCCCCTTACAATAGTCACCACCACAACCACATAACCATAGTCAGCATCACAAACAACAGCCACCACAAAAACCATAGAACCCACATTCACAACGCCTCACAACCATCACCCCAACCACAGTTAGCATCCCAAACAATAGCCACCACCACGCCCATAGAAGCAACAGCCACATCACAACACAGCCAACACACCCTTACAACAGCCACTACCACTACTAGATAACCACAACCAACATCCCAAACAACAACTAGCACCAAAACCATAGAACCCACAACCACATCACAACATAACAGACATCCCAACCAAAGCCAGAATCCCAAACAACAGTCGTCACCACACTAATTGAACACACTGCCACATCACATCATAGTTAGCACTCCCTTACAACAGCCACCACCACAACCACATACCATAGCCAACATCCCAAACAACCGCCGCCACCAAAACCTTAAAACCCACAGTCACATCACAGCACAACTAACTCCCCAACCATTGCTAACACACCAACCACAACCAACACCCCTCAAAATTAGCCACCATCACAACCAAATAACCACAATCAACATCCCAAATAACAACTACCACCAAAACCATAGAGCCCACAACTACATCACAACACAGGTGACACACCAACCAAACAATAACCATCACCACACCCATAGAACCCACAATCATATCACAACACAGTCAGCACCCCCTTACAACAGCTTCTACCAGAACTACATAACCACAACCAGATCCAAAAAAACATCCACCACCAAAACCATAGAACCCACAACAACATCAAAGCACAGCCAGCACCCCAACCATAGCCAATGATACGATTAAAATATGTTCAATTTTTCATATACTTTTAATGTTTATATTTGGTGATTTTCAATGATATTGCACTTTAAAGGAATGTATTTTGTATATTTTTGGTTTCAAGTACAAGAAATAGAGTTTTGGAGAAAAAGAAGCAAAACGGTGCAATTTGGAGCAAAAACGAGCAAGAAAGAAAATTATGTTCTGGCACATTTTAATATGTCTTTCTATGATTAATATTCTTTACACTTATCACATATTTTTGAATGAAATTATACTTTAAAGAAAGGTTTTTTTAAGTCTATTTTGTAGGTATATTCGTTAGGAACGAAACACAACTGAAATGGGGCAAAACAGAGCTAAAACGGAGCCAAACAAAGCAAAACGGTGGAGTTGCGCATGTTGGGCGCCGACGACGCCAGAACAGGTGCCAGAGTGCAGAGAGCGACGTGAAAATGGCTGGATGGTCATGACCTCATATACATTGAATTTGGATGTTTTTTTGAAGGTTTTTCGAGGCAACTCTTGGGAAATTCATCCCTACACTATAATAAAGTGATTTTATGTCAGAAAAAGTGTGTGTGTGAGTGGAAAAAAGTGGAGAATGCTTAGAGATCTTAGAATAGAAGTAAAAATGTAGATTCTACCTTTTTAGAGATCTTGGTGAGGGGATTTTGAGAGAGTCTGTAAGGGAATGTTCTAGCATTGCATGGATCAGCGAGAGATTTTGTAGGAGAAATTTTCATATTTCTCTTAAGGGGAAAAAGCTAAGTATTGTGTTCTTCATTATCTTATGATTTTTTAAACACTTATCTAGTAAATTTGCTTTGATGAAATGAAGTTTTGATGAAATGAAGTTTTTTTGATGAAATGAAGTTTTTCATTGTATTTTCTTCGTGCTTTATGATATGTTTTTCTTACTCTTTTTTCTTAGTAGGAAATAGTGACATGAGAGAATTATGCAATTGTTTTCCTTTTTCTTATCTTTTGGATTGAGTAGGATTCATGTTTAGGATTTTAGGATGCATGCAAGAAGAAGTTTTAATTATAAATGTGATGGTTTTTACTTGCACTGCATTTACATTACAATAAAGGTCTGTTACAGTGTTAAAATTTGTTGTAATTGCATTAAGACCCGAGAGGACGGTGTAATTTTCAACAAAGTGGAACCACATTCAAATTCCATGGATGGTGAAGTTCATGAGGGTAGGATGCAAATAAATAGGAAAATATACTTTGATGGGTGTAGAATTGGAGATTTTAGGGTGACAGACTAAAATCCCCAATTTGGTCCTAGTGTTTGGATACTAAAGCGAGAGTTAGCCTTCAGATGAAGGGAAGTGAGAGTTCTGGAGTGAGAGCCAGTATCCTCCCAGCATAACTATTGATTTAGGGACTAAACCTACATTAGTCAATGGTCTTTATAGCACTCAGAAGAGAGTAAAGAATAGGATTGCTCCTATTTAGCACAGACAATATTTAATGTATCTCATTCCTTTATATTATGAAATTCACTACATAAGAATAATAGTTTTTAACATCTCTAAATTCTCAAAATTACTTCATCCAACACGAGTTTCCAAAAAGAGGTTATCTTTAGAATTAACATTTGCATTAAGGAATAGTTATTATCATTATATTTAACATTTGCATTTAGGAGTAGTTGCTAGATAAAACACTATTAAAAACCATTTTAATCGATATTACAATCTAAGGCCTAATAGTAGTAGACTAGAACTTTGACTAAGGACCTCTTGCCTCGCTTCCTTGTGGGATCGATAAAAAAAACTCTATTAGAGCCTTGTATTACTTGAGCGATAAATATACTTGTGTTTATATCATTGTGACTATATTGAATATATAAAATTAATCAACAAATAAAGTCTGCATCAAGTTTTTAACACCGTTGTCGGGGATTAAAATCTTCCAGTAATGATGTCAGCTTCATGAAGCATAACAAATAAAAAAGTCACATCAAGTTTTTGGCATCGTTAGCGGGGATTAAAATCTTCAAGTAGTGGTGTCAACTTCATGAAGCATAACATATAAAAAGGTCGCATCAATTTTTTGGCGTCGTTGCCGGAGAAGCTTCGGTAAGAACTTTAGGAGAATTCTAGTTGAAGTAATTAGGCTTAGACTTGGAAAAATGGAAAAATTGAAAAATTGTAGTGTCATAAAAACTGTTTTTGTGTGAAAAGTTTTTTTTTGTATGAAAAAGTGTTGTGAAAAAAAAACTGTTTGTGTGAAAAACAATGTGTTTGCGAAAATATTTTTTTGTGTTGGATATATTTTTTATTTTGTTTGTTTAATTATTATTGTATTGTTTGTTGTGTTGCGTATGTGAAATAAAAGATCTGCAGGACTTGTGCCTTCTGATCCTGAGTTAGAAAAAAGAAAAAAAATAAAAAAACAAAAAACAGAAAGGATTTGAAAAACTAGAAATGAAAATGGAAAACATTCAAAATAATAACTTGAAAATCATTATAAATCATTGAGGGATTATGTATATCCTACGATAATTGAAATTCACTCAAGTATAAAAACCCATTTCGTAGAAGCTGACTCATTTGAACTAAATCCTAAGATTATCCAACTGGTGTAGAAAAATCAGTTTGGGGAAACTCCTTCAGAGGATCCATGTTTACACTTATCAAGTTTTCTAGAACTTTGTGCTACATTTTGTTATAACGATATGTCAGACGATATTGTTAGACTAAGACTTTTTCCTTTCTCACTAAGGTATAAGGCTAAAATGTGATTATACCTAAAATGTGGTTAATAAGGCTAAAATGTGATTATACTCATTAACACCTGGTTCTAATAAAAATTGGGAGGAGTTAACTCAGAAATTTCTAGCTAAGTATTTTCCACCTTCAAGGACTACTAAACTTAGAAACGATATTATCTCATTTTGTCAGTATAAAGGGGAATCAATATACGAAG